GACACACGTTAGGAAGAGAGAGAGGGAGAGATATATTTCATTCACAGTTTGATCATTACTAACACGTTTAAAGACGTCGCAGGGATGTCGGCTCTAACCAGCTGGGAGCTGTTCGTCAAATACGCCCTCTTCATCTTTAATTTCGTTTTCTGGGTAAGTCTCAAAATTCAAAAATAAATATCTTATACGGCACAAACACACACACAGGTTACATGTTATCATTAGTGTCACAGGAGTTTTCTAGTTTCCGTTTCTCCCGTTAAAATTAGGTTAAACTCCATTAAAAATACTCGTAATTTATTTCCTTAAATAAATGATTAACTAACAGAAAGTGGGACGTTTAGCCAACCTGTTAACATTAATATAACCATTTATTTCCTGACTTGAACAACATTTAAACGTTAAGAGCAACAGTTTGACACTGCATTTTGATTTTTAATTGGGACAAGCAAAGGAGCAAGCAAACCAAAGTTGATATTTTTATTAAATTAGTGCAATTTTAACAATTTATTATACGCCGAATTGAAGAAGTCCCTGTTTTTATTGTAGTGTGTTCTTAAGCAATATTAATTTCCCTAATAGTAGTTGACGTGTAACCAAGGAATCGCTAAATTTAAAGATTTCTGGATGGAGTTTGTTTTGATTTATAATCTGACGTGAGCTGCAGATTCAGGGGGACGTGAACCAAAGTTGATATGTTTTATTAAATTAGTGCAATTTAAAAAAAAATGTACACCGAATTGAAGAACATCCCGTTGTTATTTTAATGCATTAAGCAATATTATTTTACCTATAACACTTGATAATTATCCAAAGAAATGTTAAATTGAACGATTTCTGGACGGAGTTTGGTGCTCAGGACCTTTCTGTCAGTAACGTTGAATTTCGCTTCCGATTCGACAAATTAAGGGGGAAGTTAAGGGAAACTTACACTGTTTGTCGCATCCAGTCCACATTACTGTCAGGTCTCAGACTGGTTAAATCTAAGTATTTAAGAATTTAAGGTTTAATTTCTCCTCAGCTGACGGAGTTAGTCGAGGGTGTTGCACAGAATCTCTTAAAGGCTCTCCTTAGTTAAAGAAAAAAAGAATTAAGTAATTTACAGCAATGTAAGAGATTTTACAGCTGTTTCCATGGAGACTTTTCCATTAGCATTTAAGAAGTGCGCCATCCTCCTGTTGTTATGACAAGATCTTCAACATGGTGAACTTTTAGTTGCTAAGGACTTTAAGTGATTAATGAAGTTTAAGACAAAGATAAAGCTGAAGTATTTAAGTGAACATTTTAAGGAAACCTTAAGGAGAAAACTTAAGGAGAAAACTTAACTTTTTTCCATAACTAAGGAAAGCTTTTCAGTGATTCTGTGCAACACACTCGAGTAACTCCCTCAGCTTAAGAGAAATTAAACCTTGAGTTTCCTACTTCAGTAGAAAACTTAAGGTGTTGTGTGCAACCGGCCCCAGGAACCTGCATCAGGCCGCAGGCGTCATCTCTGATCAGGCTCCGTTTATAAAGGCTTTATAAGTTATTCCAGATCAGTTATAAGCTGGTGGTGAGAACAGCTGTTTGGGTTGCCAAGCTGTTGAAAATCCTCCTCCACCTCAACACGACACGACACGGCTGAGCGAGCTGTGGTTGTTCTGTGTTTCCCCAAATGAAACACAAACCTAACCGCACAATGGATCTTCTCAAACACTGAATGTTGTTAAGGGACAAATATCTTCATTCTGTCGTCACAGGCCGATGTTTGTGTGTCGCTGTGTAGATGTGTAGGTGTGTGGACTTGGGGAAGAGGGAAAAACAAAACCCTCAGCTCATGGTGGATGTTGACAGTTTGTCACGCTGCCACAGTCGTGTGTGAGACACCCACTCAGAGAACATGTGGTGTTATATCATCACAGCCCTGCCCTGTTTTACATCTTCATTATTACTAACCGTGTAGGACTCGGGTCGTTTTAAAGATGTCAGAACATCTGTTTCACTCATGGTCGTGCGTGGCATTTAAAGTCCTGCCCAGACAGTCGTGCAGTCGTCCTCTACCTCGCTCTCATGGACGCCACAGAGCAGCAGGAGTCTGGAAAAGAAAAAGGAATACAGGAGAATCATAAACAGGAAAGCTTGTTTGTGAAGTAGTTTGTGTCATTTATGGATTAATTAAACATGTGTTGATGTTCAGTACTTTGGATTCATGACTGGACGATTCTCTGGATGTTTTCAGTCTTGCTGTAGTTCACAAAAACATCTAACAGGGGGCGTTATTTGAGTCCAATTTGTCATACAGGACAGAAAGGTTGTCTGTGTCTTGTCTTCCTCGTTCTTCTTCTTCATATTTGTAAGATGTCCTCCTCAGTCTCCTCTCCTCTTCACGTCCTCATCTTTAAATCCTGTTTTCCAGTCTGGATATTTCAGGATAGCGGTGAGGACAGTAGTGTGCTTTTCAAAATAAAAACACATTTTAGTCACTAAAGGCATTTTGTAACGTGAAGAGAGAAGGAAAGAGGGAGGAGGAAGAGAAGTCTGTGAGGCTTCAGCAGCTCCGAGACAAAGCTGGTGTTGTTGGGTCCACTGGGAACGGACAGCAGCTCCAGTTACCTCAGCAAACAACACAGAGTCCCCCCGAGTGTGTGTGTGTGTGTGTGTGTGTGTGTGTGTGTGTGTGTGTGTGTGTGTATGAATACACACGTGAAGCTTCATTTCTCCTCATCCATTTTTGGTTACTTCCTGTCTCTTTGTGGTTATTTTTGTCTCTTTGTGGTTTTGTGTCTCTTTGTGTCATGTTTACGTTTAAAGACATTTGCTTCTTTACATTCTGTTGTGCAGGTTAATTGCTGTAATGAGGTTTCACAGATGTAGAAGGTGGATCATTAGATTTGCTGTGAGGTTTCAAGGTTGATACCAAAGAAAGTGATATCTGCTGCTGCTCCTCTGTAAACACACGTGCGCATGTCAGGACTGTTTCTGAGGTAGTTATATTACAGACAGAGCTGCTGCTGGGTTTCTAATTTACCTGCTCGTTAATCACCTTCACCTGGTGTCCACCATGTAAATCAGCAGGGTTGTGGCTCCTGTGCTTGAAAACCACTGGAACAGACAAACACCGCAAGCCCCACCCCCCTCCACACACTCCCTCCCCCTCACTTTCTAAGTATACCCAGGTGAGCCAGGCAAGGGTGTGGCTCACACACACGCACACACGCACACACACACACACACACACACACACACAAAACTTGCAGCTCACTTCTCCTTCTTCCTCTCACGCCGCCGGAGACAATCAGACAGTTTCATCGAGGAAACAAGGACATTTTCTTCTTGTGACGCTTCAGCGGACAGACATGGGGGCTCTGCAGTGCATCAAATACCTGGTGTTTGTGTTCAACTTTCTCTTCTGGGTAGGTAGTATCTCTCACACAAGTGCTGGGGTTGATACACGAGCCGGTGTTGAAGTGGTTTGGTGGGTTTCAGTGACTGAAGTGTAAATCGGTTGATCCGAGCGGCTGGTAAATCTGGTTAAACCAACTCAAACCAGCCTGAAGTTTAAAACTGCTGGTTAAAGTTTACAAGCCTCTCCTTTCCCCCACTGCTTTAAACTTTGGTGTTTTTTTAAAAAACTGATTATAAATCGACGGCTGTAATGAAAACAAGAAAAATGAGCCAAGTAAAAGGAGCTGCTCCTCAGTCCGAGCAGTAAATGCTTTGCGTCGTGAGGAAACTGCGTCAGTGGAAAGAGTTGGTAGAAACCGACAGACTTTCCTCCACAAAGTAAAATCTCATGTCAGTGAACGTATTTATCAGATGGTGTAAAACGTGATGCAAAGCCGCGGAGCGCGCCTCTGTTTTCTGCCTGATGATGAGAATGACTTTCACTATTTTATTTGCTTTGTACATTTAATGACATGTCACGTGTTTTGTTTTGTTTTTGTTTTTGTTTTTGTTTTTGTTTTTTTTCCCGCTTTTGGCTGAAAACAAACAAACAAGAAGAAATCTGAGTGTGACGTGATTTACAGTCACTGTCTAAACATCTTTGTTGGTTTCTCCCACGTCCTTCGTCTCCCAGCAGCAGAACGTGGTTTATATTTCAGACATTTCCTGTTGTTCAGCTCAGTTGTTTCTACATTAGGATGACTGGACCCGACCTGTTGGCTCAAAGTTAAAGACACAAACTTTCAGTCTGGGGGTCTGAGGATTGTTTCCTTTTATAATCAATATTACTTCATTGCTCAGAGATTACAGCAGATGTGTGTATATTATATATATTCTGTGTTTCGGTTTGATATCCCCAAAAACAGTTGTTTTGAGTGAAGGATCTGAACAGTGACTCTCTCACTACCTGCTGTGCTGTTGTTACCGCCTGTTTACAGCTGCTCTCTTTAATGACTGTTTTGTCGACCTGAGTCTGAAGTTGCAGCGTGTAAGGATGGAGACCGATGACAGGACAGAACATAAACATCAGATTATAAGGGTTTGTTTATTCCACAGTGTAATGACTGAACTGTTTATTAGGAGTCATTACTGTAAGTGTTCCTGTTCCTCAAATTACACGTCCCACAATCCTCCCTGCTTCCTGCCTGAGAGGGCGTCTTCCCTCCTTTATAACTCTGGCAGCTTTGTGTTGAGATGTCACAGTGTGGTTTCATGGAGAGAAACCTCTCAGAAATCATTGATGTCTGTGGTGGTTGTTAGTGCAGCTAATGTGCAGCAGAGAGTGTGTGTGGTTAATGAGAGCTAATGAGAAGCTCGGGGGAACGAGCTGTTCTCTTCTGAAGACGCTCAGCGCCGAGTCCGACTCTCCCGAGTCTGTTTACTGCACATTAACACCGACCGTCACTCAGACTCCACTTTCCTGCTCTTTCATTCTTCTGTTCGTCCTGTTGGACAGAAGATAATTAGTTTCACTCCAGACTGTAAAACAGTGATTTATCAGATACCTGAGGATGTTGAATCCTGCAGCAGGTTCTTTAATAACTGCAGGCTGCTGCACCAGCGACGTATCACTTCAAATGCAGCTCGTGGTCATAGAGGTTCATTATAATGTAGAGCTCATATCTCACTTTTAAACTTAACTTCCTGATCAGCTGTGAGTGAACACTCGGTGTTGTGCTGCAGGTCTCCAGTGGATGAATCCTGACTCTCAGGACACGTCACTCTTGTTTTTGCTTTTTTAAAATAATTTTCTTGGGCAGGTTTTTTTTTTGCCTTTATTTTGAAGCCACAGTGAGAGAGAGGAGAGTCAGGTGGGATTCGAACCTGTGGCCCGCTGTGGTGAGGACTAAACCTTCATGGTACTCACCCCGCCAGGTGAGCCCCCGCTGCTCCAGGTGCACGTTTCAAAAGGGTCGTACTTCATCTCTTAATTAATCATGGAGTGTTTTTAGATTAACATTCAATAAACCAACCAGACTGCCGTCTTCCATTCCCTTTAAAAGCCAGGTGTGTTTGCACCTGTGTAGTCTATTTGACTTCAGACCAGTTGCATGAAACAGCCATAAAGGTTTCTCTGACTCCGTCTGAACTGCAACTGACCAGGTTCATGGTGATGAAGGAAGAAACCTGATTCGACTCGTCCAGCTGCTTCGTTATCACATGATCTGTTATAGTCGAGGTCTTTCATGTTCATCGAGTTTAAATGCTCTTACGTCTGTTGAACATTGTTCCCGTGACAACAACAGGAGGATGAGATAACGTCGCTCTTCTTTAATGTCACCGTCTTCCCAGAGTGATCAGAGCGGTGTCTCACCTCTTCTCCTTAAGGAAACACCCTTAAATAACTCCCTCAGCTTAAGTGTTAAACTTGACAGGGTGTGGTGATGAGCAGTGACTCAGTCTGAGTCCGAGGCTTTTTACAGGGTGTTACACGACAGGCAGGAGGAGAGTGAGTCATACGCCTGTAGACGAGCTGTTGTAGTTACTGTGTTTACAGATGAATTCTTGAAGCAGCTTATAGTGAGGCTGATCTTTAGAGATTTTTTTTGCTATTGTCATGTTTGTGTATTTTGATTGTGAAATAAAATGAACTGTCTTTGTGGTTCAGGTGTGAGCTCAGTGTTGTGATTGGACAGATGTGTGTTCGCTGACTCACTGTGCAGCAGGAGGTCAGGGGTCAGGGGTCAGGAGGTCGTGGCGTCGCTCGGGGAGAATGTTTTCCTGTTGCTCAGACGTCAGGGTCACGCTGCACGACGTGATGAAAGTTGTTTGGGTGGCAACGGAGAGTTGATGTAAACTGTGTTTTGCGGTTGCCGCGGAGATGACTCGGTCATTGTAGTGCGTCATCGCTGTGGAGAAGATGTGGAAAGACAAGATTTCGATCATTGTTTTCTCTCATTCTCAGTTTGATATGGAAAAACTCGAACTCTGTCGTCATGTGAATCACCTGAGGCTGAAGAGGCTGAGAGTCACAGAGGGGCTCGTTATGTTTCCACCGTGGACGAGCTGCTTGTTGAGCAGGTTGTTCAGGGTGGGTGCGCTACGGCCGAGAATGTGTTTTGTTTTTTTCACATTCCTCAGCTCCGAGCTCGTCGTTCCCTCCCGTCGTCGCCTCCTCCACCTGTCGTAGCCACAGAAACCAGTGAGCCAACCAGGTATCCCAGTGTCTCACCTGTCCACAGACTCACACTGAACTCAGGAAAATGAACTGGGATAACTTTGTTGATCCCCTCACTTCTCTTCTTCTTCTCGTCCTGTTTCGGTTTGTGACTGAAAATCTGTGAAAAGTCTGGTCTCATAAGTTTCCCGCTCTACACCTTAATGTTGTTGTTGTGATAGTTGATGGAGTCATAAGTTAAATGTTGCAGGAGCGTTTTCCCCCCGTGATGAGAATTTGCAGTTGATCATAATTAATTAGTATCTTGTGTTTCCTGTTGAGGCATGGATCAACATTAACCTCTGCATCTGACCCTGAGGTGAAAACAGCTGGATTGGACTGGAGTGAGATGAATTACTAATAAATGAGGAATGTATCTGCGGTGTCTTCATCCACAAGCTGAGCTCAGATATTTAACAGTGAATGAGATTAAACTTGTGAACCTTGTGTGTGCTGTAGTTGGCAGGTACCGGAGTTCTGGCTGTGGGACTATGGCTGCGCTTTGACAGCAGGACAGCAGGACTGTTCGAAGGGGAGGACTCGCCCACAGTCTTCTTCACGGGTAAGATCATTCAGATACAGGATTTACAGTTACATGGTGGACACAAACCGTCTGTGGTTCTGGTTCATTAGTTTTGGTAAATGCAGCTCTATTTTGTTGATGATCATTTTTGTTATTGATTAATCTGCCACTGATTTTTCTCAATGAATCAATGTATCGTTTGATGTTCACGTGTGTTTTTGTTTGTTTGTTTATTCAGTTTACAATGATACAAAACAGAAAAGAGCGGGAACATAATAAATGACTCTGAGGATTAATCGATTAATAGATCATTTTCTTTCGATCACCTCCCTGGTCGGAGGACTGAAAACCTGAAGTGACCTCGATAACCTGCTTGGTAGTACAGACCCGGTGTGTGCTGCCGCTGTAAAATAAATAATAATGTTCTGTCTGTTAAAGGAAGTGCAGCTTCTCCTTCCAGCATAAAAGCTGCGGTGCTTTCATTGTGCATCAGCATTAAGTGAACGTGCATGTCAAGAGCATGAATGTTTTATGATGAGAGTGTTGCTTTGTGGGTAAACAGTGTGGTTTCATCAGGAGGGGGGCAGGAAGTACAAAACACCTTAAATTCTTATTGTACGTTTAATTTCTCCGTAGCTGAGGGAGTCGCACAGAATCTCTTCTTCTTTAGTTAAGGAAAGAATTTAAGTAATTTACAGCAGTGAAAGAGATTTTACAGCTGTAAAACTCTACTGTTGCTATGGAGACCACCGATTTGACTTTTGATACTTGTTTTCACTTTTGGGAAGTTTGTAACATTAAAGAAGCAGCTGACTCTTCACCATGGTGACGCTAAGTTTGATTCCGTAAGTATGAGACTAAGATAAGGAGAAAAGCAACTGAGCCTTTACTAAAGCAGAAATACTGCAAAGTGAACATGAAACGTCACATTAGTATTAAGTTAAGATTATCTGATTGTTCCCTCTTGACTCAGTATCAGTGGGTTGGACCAGAACATGTGACTGGATGCTGCTTCATTAGCTCCAGAGAGCCGGGGCGGGGGCGGGGGCGGGGGGGCACAGGGAGGGCAGCTGAGGCCAGAGTTAGCTCCTCCACATGTAGCTTTCATTCCTGTGACAGGGACGTCTTTGTCTCTCTGAGGATCTGTCTCCCTCCCTCCTCTCTTTGTGCTTCGCCTCCGTCAGGCGGAGCGCTGAAGTGGGCCGCGACGTCTGAAATGACAAACATCTTAATAACCGCTCCGAAGGAGGAACATGTTAATGTGACATCACTGTAATGAGTCATCCTCATGAAGGGATGATTAATGATGGTGGATCATTGTTGTTGCCTCTTAATCACTTTTCAAACTTTTACATTTGAGGTTTAGAAATTCACAGCATCTTTTTCAAACTCGTCACGACATTATTTAAATTTAGATCTTGATCTTCTTCTTCTTCTGTGTTTTATTTTGAAGTGTTGATCCATCAGAAGATATAAAAACCATCTCAGGCCTCTCTCTGGAGCTCTAGTAACAACAGGTTGGTGAGCCAATCAGAAGAGAGGAGGCTCTGAGCCTCTCTTCTGATTGGCTGATTGTTTTCTGACTGTCCAATAAAAATATAGCAGATTTCAGGTAAAAACACTCAGAGAAACCAAATCCTGCAAGGTTTGGATGGTGGGTCCAGGTGGGCGGGGCTTGGTGACTGCTTTGTTGTGACATCACAAAGTTCCAGAAGTCCTGACGGCTGGTTTTAAGGCTCAGTTTCTGAATACAGGCTGTGTGCATTTCTCTGTGGACTGAGGCTTTGATACTTTCACAGTATTAATATAGAAGCTAGAGCTGATCTATAATCACACTACACATGGACACAGACCTTTACACTGTTTAAAATTTGTTGATGGACTCACCTCGACTGTAGAAACTAAACTGTGGCACAAGATGCAAATATCTGATGAAAATTTATTTCACGGGAAGCAGAAAAGAACGAGCTGAAGGTAAATCATCACCGTGTGTGTGTGTGTGTGTGTGTGTGTTGTAGGTGTGTACATCCTGATTGCGGCCGGGGCTCTGATGATGGTCGTGGGCTTCCTGGGATGCTGCGGAGCCATCAAAGAGTCGCCGTGCATGTTGGGATTGGTGAGTCATTCGTTCTGTTCGTACTTTGGTAGATGTCATTTCTCGTGTTTGCACATCTGGACACTGTCGTCTCTTCTTCTGTACGAAGCGTCTCCAGCTGTGTCGGCTCAGATGAAGCTGCTCCACAGAAAAACTGACTCTTGTTTTCTCCTTTAGTTCTTCCTCTTCCTGCTCCTCATCTTCGCCGTGGAGGTGGCTGCTGGGATCTGGGGTCTCTCCAACAAGGACACGGTACAACACACACACACACACACACACACACACACACACACACACACACACACACACACACACACACACACACACACACACACACACACACACACACACACACACACTTTGCTATCAGCAGTCAGTCTGTAATTTAAAGAGTTTGCATGAATGTGTTTCTGTGTTTTCAGGTGGTGGAGGAAGTTACAGAGTTTTATAAACAAACCTACAACAACTACAAAGAAACCAGACAGGACGCGCTGAAGGAGACGCTCCGCCTCATCCACTTTGGAGTGAGAACACACCTGAACACCTGCCTCTGATCCACGTGTTAACCTCCTCTCTCCTGCTTCTTCCACGTTGGTCAAACCCTGATTCCTGAGTGAAGAAACACAAGTGTCACACAGGCTGAAATAAACCAATCATAAAGAGACACGAAGGAACGAGAGAGAGACGAGAACCGAGTGAAAAGAGACACAAAATTAAAACAAAAAGACACGAAACCACAAACGGTCGCGGCGAGCTGAAGAACACTCCTGTCGCTTTGTGTGTCTCAGTCGTGCTTCTAATAGTTTAAGTTTTTGTCATGTTTACACGAGATTAATGGTGCAATAAAATGTGTTGGACAAGAACCCGGTCAACACAGCAATATAAAATATATATATATATATACCTTATATCTGACCTCGGTCTCCTCCTCACAGCTGGACTGCTGCGGTCCGACAGGAACGGTGATCGACGCCGCCAAAGACATCTGCCCCAAGAAGGAGGGGCTGGAGGTCCTAATCACCAAGGTAACGCAACATAAACACACCTGAAAACAGGAAACAAACGCTCTCTCACAGCCGATGATTAATAAGGATGGACGTTTTAGTTGTTTTCAAAAATTTCTCAAATTTAACTTGCGATCAAACTCTTTGGAGTTTTTCCATCAGTCTCGATGTGATCGATACCAGGATCAATCCCCTCAGGATTAATCACGTGCGTCCTTCTCTTCCATCAGAGCTGTCCGAACGCCATCGACGAGATGTTCAACAACAGACTCCACATCATCGGAGGAGTCGGCATCGGTATCGGAGTCATCATGGTGAGTCTGTGGACACACACACACTCACACACACACACACACACACACACACAGAGCAGAGGTCAACAATGTCAGCGATTACTGAAATGGTTGATTCAATCAGTTGAGTAATCGTTGCATCTCTGCTGTTGGCGTCATATTTCATAAGCTCATGTTTTACTTTATAAAGTATCCACTAACTTCAACTGTTCAATAAATACAGTTCAATAAAAGTCTAGGAAGGAAACAGAAACTGACGAGAGAACTGTTGAAGCCACACATCACTGTGCAGACGAACAAGCTGCAGTGACTGACAGTAAAGANTTCATAAGCTCATGTTTTACTTTATAAAGTATCCACTAACTTCAACTGTTCAATAAATACAGTTCAATAAAAGTCTAAAGTGGAGTGAAAGAAAATACAAACACTACAAATCAGAGCCGCTGCAGCTCAGCTCTTCTCGTGTTTTCCTGAAACATGAAAGTATCGGCTTCGTTCGTCACATGATCGAACCACAGGCATCAGAGCTCAGAGGTTTCATGGCTGGTTGTTGATTTTAATGCAGGTAAATGTAAAATCATTTCTACTAAATGGAGCAAAAACCACAGACAANCAGCAGCTACACGCTACAGTGCAGCAGCTACAGGCTACAGTGCAGCAGCTACAGATCATTTATTAAAGACAGGTGCATGAGGTAACAGCAGGTGAAAGCACAGATCAGACGTCACGTCACTCTCAGACTTCAACAAGCTGCAGAAGAAACGTGTGCAGATACAGATAGTGAGAAAACCGACATGAAGTGCGTCAGTGAGGTGTCGGGACGTCACGTGACACAGGAAGCCGTCACCTACAACACGACACGTCTGCGCCGCCATGTAAAGTTGTTTGTGTTGACATCCTCTCTCTCTCTCTCTCTCCACAGATCTTCGGGATGATCTTCAGCATGATGCTCTGCTGTGCCATTAAGAGGTCCAGGGACTTTGTCTAAACCACTACACCC